GATTCCCTCCAACACCCTCATCCACACCCACCCGCAGTTTTAGAAGTGAGTAAATGATGTTCAACTGGCCAACCTACGGGTATCTTCTAGCCCCTGTAAGTGATGGGAATGGGCCTGCAATCCAAGTCTGTATACTGAAAGCAACTATTGGGAAAGAAGTTTTCTTTCTCCATTGTGGTTGCTACTCTGGTTGAATTTAAGCATGGAGCTATTGTTGGCCAATCTTGCCACTGCATGGGCTGATCCTGTTGAAAAATAAAGCCAGTACAGAGGAAAATAGGGCCCAAAGATGGAGATATCCTACTGAGAGCATCATTCAAGCACTTAGACCCAAATATGTATAAAACTATGATAGATGTATTCCTATGAACTAATCAGTATATGCTTTGAGCCAGTTTGAGTTGGGTTTCTTCTGTTTCACAGAAATGAGTCCTAATGTACTACTCTGCTGAAACTGTGTTCTTAAAGGTTGTCAATAATACAATAACAGCTGATATATATTTTTTTATTTTGGTATCATTAATCTACAATTACATGAGGAACATTATGTTTACTAGACTCCCCCCATCACCAAGTCCCCCCCAAATACTCCATTACAGTCTCTGTCCATCAGCATAGTAAGATGCTTGCTATAGTCACTACTTGTCTTCTCTGTGTTGCACAGCCCTCCCCGTGCCCCCTTCATTATACAATATAATCATAATGTCCCCTTTTATACATGCTAATCATAATGCCCCCTTTCTTTCCCTCCCCTTATCCCTCCCTTCCCACCCATCCTTCCCAGTCCCTTTCTCTTTGGTACCTGTTAGTCCATTCTTCTTGGGTTCTGTGGGTCTGCTGATATTAACAGTTGATATTTATTGAGTTCCAGATATCACAGTAAGCACTTTACATAGGTAAAATAATTAAAACCTTATAATAACTGTTATTATCATTATCCTATTTACAGATGAAGAAACTGAGGTGCAAAGATATTAAGAAAATTGTCCTAAGGTTTTATAATTAGAAATGCAGAGTTGATGTTCAAGCCAGGGTGTCTGGTTCCAGAGGCCCTCACCTGTTCCATTCTGTTTTGCCTCATGAATCAACAAACCCAGTGGCCTGTCCTCATATACGTTAGCCTCTTTGCAGCATTCAACACTATCCACTTGTTCTCCACATTCTCATGGAAAGCCTTTGCTTTCCACAACATGGTAATCTTAGTTTTTTGCCAGTCCTTACAGGAACTTCTTTAGCTCTTCTTCTGCCCTGCCTCCTAAATCTAGAATTTTCCTAAGGACTCTCTACTCTTCCCTAGGTGATCTCATAACTTTAAATACCACCTCTGCTCAAATAATGCCATCAACTCAAGCCTTTTATTTCTAACTGCCAGCCTCCAAATGATCTAAATATCTTGCTCAGACTTCAAATGGCATGAGTTGTGTGACATACCGTTTTGGGTTTGTCAGAAAAAGTTGTAATTCCCATATTATTTATTTCAGGCTCGGCTGGAAATTATAACTGAAGCCAGAGGTCATAATACTCAGCTATCAGGTAACGCAAAAGACTATTGACACGGGTACTTTGAGATAACTACATATTTAGCTAGCAATTCCATCTAGTGAGAAGAGAGATAATGTTAATAAGCATTCAGATGTTAATTACCTAGTAGTTAAAATCAGTACTTGTTATCTCATAATCATGAATTTGAGTTTTTGCCCTTTTACAAAAGTGAAAGCTCTTCCCTGAAATACTGAAAATCATACTTTTCATTTGTAACTTTCAGGTGATTAATATTTGTTTATTATAGAAAACTGTGTTTCTTCACTTCAGATTATACACTGACAGGTTAGGTCGTTTTTAGTTTTCCAAACTTGTGCAAATTAATTCCTCTCTAGGGCAGTGGTTCTCAACCCTGCCCATGCATTGGACCTGAAGTTCTACCCTAAGAAATTCTGATGCAGTTGTGTCAGGGTGACAATGGGACATTGGTATTTCTACAAGCTCTTCGGGAAATTCCAGTGTGCTGTCAAGGTTTGAGAACCACTGTTCTAAGGGTTCACTTTTTAGGTTGCTATGCAAATACAATATAGTCCACTTATTTCTAGCAACAAAATATTTCTTAGTATAGAATTTTTATACTAAAATTTTATCCCAAATCCAATTTTAACTGGGTATCCTGTGTTTTTATTTGCCAAATTTGTCAACCCTATCATTTCTGACTTTATTCTGTGTATCATAGGAAATAAGAGGTGAAATTACATTCGTATCAGAAAGCATTCGGACTTTTTGTCTTGTCTTTCTATTTTTTCACGCCTTTTTGTAATAAACCTTGTGCCTCTAAAAATTCATTTCTAAGAAAAAAAGCACTGTAAATTCAGCCAGGTCTTTGCTTCTATAAGCTCCCCACATTCTTCCTTGTGTTTTTCAAGAAGCTCCTTCAGCAGTGGAAGGTCAAGCCACTCTTAGGCTTTAAATCTGGTATCTTCTGTCTCATCTTTCTGATTCCAGTTGCAGAACATTTTGTGCTTCTAAAGGATCATGTGATTGTATCACCTGAATGTTCCAGGATAATCTCATTTTTGTGTTCATGACTCTAATTACATCAACAAAATCCCTTTTGCTATGTAACATAACTTTTTCACAGGTTCCAAGAACAAAGATGTGGACAGCTTTTGTGGGCTGCTCTGCCTGTCACAGTTTTCTTGGGTATAAATTTCACCTCTCTTCTATCTGACTGTGGATAAAATGAAAGTTCTTGTGGCCAGGATTCTCACCTAGCCCCGATTGGCTAGCTCACTTCACACGTGTGGGCAATACGTTGCTATTGACACTATATAAAGAGCTCCGCTCAGTGGTCTGGGCAACATGGTGGCATCGCTGCAAGGCTGCAGGAGAGTAGAGCAGAGGCTGGAATGGTGGCAGCGCTGTGGACAGAGGCCCAGAGGATGGCTGTGCGGGACAACTGTGCAAGCAGAGAGGCCCAGAGGCAGGGTGTGCAGGCGGGGAGGCCTAGAGGCAGAGACCGGCTTGCTGCATGCAGACTCCCTCTGAGTGAACAGGATTTTAGTGACTGACCTACCACCATGGAAATAAAGTTGAGTATAACCCTTTCACCCCAAGAACGTTCTACTGTCATTTCTTTGGTCACACTGAATCCATAGAGAACTTGCTGGGGGCTGAAACTCATTGGCAAGACATGGACTCTCAACCTAACTAACACCTTTGTTGTAGTGGAGCACATACTCCAATTGTTTTCTGAGAAAAGATGCATGAGAAGAATATTTAAAACTTTGTATATCAGAAACTGTCTTTTTTAATCTCATACTTTATTAGTTTCTAGATTGGAAATAATTTTCTCTCAGAACTTATTTTTTATTTATGTTTCTGTCAGAAAGTCCAATGTCATTCTAATTTCTGAATCTTCATAAATGATCTATTTTTTTCCACTTGAGAGTTATTGAGATCTTCTCTCTGACCCATTGTGGAGAAAATGGAGGTTCCTATGGCCAGGATCCTCACCTGTCCTTAAACTATTTGATGATGTAACTGGCTTACTGCTAGGTTACTTCTTCCACACCCATAGGCAGTAAGTTATTATTGACTGAGTCACTATATAAAGAGCTCTGACCAGCACTGTGTGGAGGTAGAGACAAGGAGGATTACAGACCTGCAGACTGTTGGATGCAGAGGTAATTCTAGTACTCGACCTCCTGCCAGGAGAACAAGCCTGGTAATAAAACCTTTTACACTACAAATGTTCCTTGTCATTCCTTGGTCTCACTGAATCCACAGTGAACTTGCTTGGGGCTGAAGTCCATTGGCAAGGCACTCATGTACTTTGAAATTTCACAACTATACACTTTGGTAAAGTAATTTTAACCACTGAGTTGAGAGTTTGTGCCATATTACTTCTCAGTTCTGAGAACTGTTGTCCTGGTTTTCTTCAATAATTTCCTTTCTTCTATTTGTCTACTCACTATTAGATATTTGACCATTTGTAGCCTAAATGCCATAGCTAAAACCTGCAGTACAATGTTGACTAGAAGTAAGCAAGACTGGACATCCTTGTTTTACTCCTGATCTCAGGTGAAAGTATTTATTCTTTCATCATTTAGTATGCTAGATTTTATCAAGTCCTTTTTGTTCATCTATTGAGATGATCCTGTGATTTTTATCCTTATTGTAAGACTGTTTCACATTGATAAATTTAGATGAGTCCTTCTTGGTCACATTGTAAAATACTTTTTCTATGTTGCAGGATTTCATTTGCTAATTTTTTGTTGTGGAATTTTGTAGTAATGATAATAAGGTATATTGATTTATAGTTTTTTTTCCCCCTGTGATGGCGATGTCTGGTTTTGTTACTGATTTCAGTGGATTCTCAGGTGGGAAATCATTGCATACAGCCCTAGTCTTGGGACAAGTCTCCAATTATGCCTCTGGAGATTTCCAATTATGCAAATGGGGATTTCTGTGTTGTGCAGAGAGAGCTATACAGTCTTTAGAGTTGTTCCCTAGTTTCTTTCCCCTGCCTCAAGACAACTAGTAAAACTTGCTTTTCATATGCGCAAACTTATTTATAGTCTTTTGATCATTAATTTTCATTGCTCTGCTTCCAGAGTTTATGGCAGGCTGGCAAGCCAACACGGGGCCCTCTCCCTGAATAAATACTTTTGATTTACTTCTGGTCATCAACTCACTTACCAGCTGTACTTTGTGAGGAGCGGAGTCAAGAACACTTTGTGAATCCCAGTTGCACATAGGTGTAACCTTGGGCACAAGAAGGTAAGAGACGCACTCCCGTGACTGGTGCTCCCTTAGGAAGAGTCTTGGGCGTGGAGCTGGGTCTCGGGCACGCGAGTGTATTTGGCAGGGAGCAGACCCGGGTGGGCCGGAGCTCGCAGCTCCCGCAGAAGAGGCACCGGCACTCCTGTTGCTCTGGTAAGCTAAGCAGGAGGAGACAGTTCCCGCTGGGCCCGCCGGCCGGCGCGGGGCAGGGCGGGGCGCCGCCCACGAGGCGCTCGGGCTGGAGCAGCAGAGGACGGGGAGCCGGCGGCGGCGGCGGCGGCGGCGGCGGCGGGAGCGCCGGGGCGCCGAGACCAGGCGTAGCTCAAGCGCTTTCCGCGGGGTTTGGCTCCTGTCGCTTCCCGTCTCGCCGAACCCGCACCGCCGCCGCCCGAGCCGCCACGAGTCCTCGGGGCCGGGCTGCGGACGGCCGGGCGCGCTTGGAGGGGGCGCGGAGCCGGCGGCTCTGGGGCGCCGACGCAGGTACGGACGGGCGGCGGGGCGCGCCTCCCGAGGGGTCTGGCTTCGTCCCGGCCTGGCCACGGTGGCCCGGGCCCGCACGCGCGCCCAGCGAGGCCGCCTGCGCCGAGAGCTGGGCTGGGGCGCCTCCCGCCCCGGCCTCAGGGGACGCGGCGCGGTTTAACTTTTGCACCTGAGGCGCTCGCGGCGGCCTCCGGGCGCGGCCCGGCCGAGGGTGGAATGACGCGAGTCCGGACTCGGGAGCCCGGGCGCGGGGTCCCTCCCGATCGGAGCCGAGGGACGGCGTCCTGCGCGGTCTCAGATAGCTGCTCGAGCCGGCACACGCCCCCTGTCGCGGCCGGTACCCTTCGAACAGATCCGCTTTCTTTTGTCTGGCCCATCTCGGTGTCGGCGGCTCAGCTGCTGCCGTCGCGGCCTTGGCGGAGAGTGCGGACGTCTGCTGGGCAGGGGTCGCGGGGAGCCCTGCGCGGCCGGCGGAGGGCACAGAGGTCCTGGGGGCGCGGGGGGCGGGTATTACCGGTGCCGTAATTAGCGCTAAAGTGTATGTTACCGAGGTCTTTTCGAGATCGCACTCAATATTTAGATAGCGTCGAATAGTTTCAGGTGCACCTGGGAGAGCATTCATTAGTTAACTTCAAAGGAGCATTGTGTGGGCAGGTTACTATTAAATTAACCCGTTTTGTAGACCAGACCTGCTGAGACGCCCACAAGTAAAGGTGATTAATTTCAAAACGAATCAGTCAGCCCCGTGGGAGCTGTTATCAGAACTTGTCTACGAGTTGTATTTGCGTAAATGCAGCACTCAACCTCGGTATTAAGGCGCTCACAGTGCCCACCTAATGCTCATATTTTTATTTAACTCATTAACTACTAAAATATTTCTTTAAAAAAATCCTTTCAGACTTCTGGAATAGTACCCTTAAAACTGATCTCAGAATCATTTCAGCTGTTGAATAGGAACACTGGAGTCATAGTAAGGACTAAATTCCTTTGTCTTCCGTCGGTCAAATCTTAAACTTCCTACAGGTGTGGTGCCGCTGGGAGCCCAGAGAAACTTAGTGCTTATCATAGCAGAGACTCTAAATATTTATTTAATGAGTAAATTCAATGGAGGAGGCAAACTCCTAGGTGTCCCTGAATATTGGGCAAGTTTTCTTTACTCATACAAAAATAATTAAAAATTTAGAATAGTCATTTTAATAATTTCAATGAAAATTATAGTCACATACTTATATTGTGCTTTTTTATCTCTCAAGAACTATCAACTTACCCATTTTTCTAGGGTTTGCACTTAAATGATTTTGCGAATGGATCTTTCATTCTTCCATTTTTCTTCCTCTCTTTCATTTATAATATTGGTTTTTAAAGTGAAGATATTTTTCATCTCAAACTCAAGGAAGAGGTTTTTCTTTTTTAAGTTCTTTTTTGGTAAAATAGACTTAAGTAGAACTTTCATGAATGTATCTGAGGATACAAACCAGCCTCTTTAACAAGTAACTCTCATACATCAAGAATTCTTCCAAGCAAGTATGGAATGAATTAATAATCATTTTAATAGATCTCTATAATTTTTTATGGTGCACCACCTCATGCTTTTTATCAAGCAGTATAAAGGTAAAAAAAAGTGACTTTAATTTTGCTGACTATAAGCACAAATTTTAGGGCACAGTGTACCTAGACTTAATTATTTACTCATGGGATAAACACATAAAATTCCCTTTCCCTTACACAACTTTCACTCAGTCATCTGAAAAAAGAATGTAATCAGTCCTTTCTCTCTTATGGGATATTGGGGGAATTACTGAAGTAGTATCTGGAAATAATTTTGAATTTGTGGAAGAAAGCTGCTTTGCCACAAGTGTGACTAGAGTATCATGAAACACTGGCCCTCCCCCAAACATGCTGTCAATTATGTTTTTAAAGAGAGTGGTCATTTCAAGTAGTCACTTAGAATGCTAAAAACTTATCCCAAAAGTGCTGTTGCTATTCACAAATGTTTTGAATCTTCTGAAATTTCTAGTCAATTTATAAGCAACAAAAACATGATTTAGAATCACTTTTATAAGCACTTGCTTTTGCTTGTTTTTTAATCAACAACAAAACTGTGTAACTTGGTTTGAACGCCTGTTTTATTTGCTATG